GGTGTGGGGTGTGGGGTGTGGGGGCAGCTGTTGCAGCAGGTGAAATCACGGACCTCTATACTTCTTCCATGGTGTCTGTTCTGAGAGAAAATACATAAGAGAAGATTATTGATCTTTGCATTTATTGTCCTTTTCTTTCTCAAGAACAAACCATTTTTTTTTTCCTGTAGCTGTTTTTTAGGTGTCGCCATCTATACAATCTGCAAACATATTCTAGATCTTATTGTGAATTTCTTATATTTAATTTGAAAAAGCAAAAAGATTTTCTTGTTTCTCTAGTTTTACGTGATAATTGGTCGGAGTGTTTTCCTCATTTCAGTTTGCTTTTGCTACACCCTCCCCTGGCAGAGTGATTATTTTAAAACTTGGGCGCTGTTGTTGTGGAATTAGCTCTAGATCTATATACTTCAGAATCCATTAAATAAATTTGTAATTTGCTCATTTGAAGCAACTGAAAATAGCAAAGCAAACCCATAGCAATTACTTTATTTTTTAGAAAACATTTTAGGGCATCTCTGTACAGTCGTCCGGGCATGAAACACCACTGTCACAGAACCTTGAAATACTCTTGGGTCTAAGTGGACTACATATTATGATGATGATTATTGTTGTGTTGTAGAATCTAGCAGAAAAAATAATTGACTGCATTATTATTGCTCTCTTGACTTGAAACCTTATAAACGTGAACTGATTTCTTGTTCAAACTCTCTACAACTGACTCCAGAGTATGCCTACTTTGTTTATTGACGATTTAATCTATGTAGGCTTAAGTCTAATCTAAAACTACGGATTAATTACGGTATTTAGATATAGATCTAGACCTGCGGCACTTCTAAAAAAGATAAGACGTCGTTGGGGTTGTGTCCTGCAATCATTGCGCACACTGGCCTAGATCATCTACTCACGAGAAACAGGATCTAAACTGTTTATCTGGTTCTTTCTTGAATGTCACAGAATGTTTACGATTTCAGCAAAAACTTCAGTTGCACAGTTTTTCACACTGGCTGTGGGAATTACGCGGTACACAGCACAGTCACAGTCAGAGAGAAAACGAAAGCAGAAACAAGAATTTAGAAACGGAAGTTTACATCCGTTACCATTGTAAACAGCGGGAGCATTCGTTGAAGTCTTTCTGCTAAGGATCGTTCGTTAAATATTTCTTGTTCAACAGCCGACAACGACAAGGAATTTTATCATCATTATTATTATCATTTTAATGCAGGTGTGTTTACGTCCCTATCGACACATTTAAAAAAAAAAATATAGGCCTATTGCTGAAAAAGTAATGCGTCTGGTTTTGAAATGGGTTACAAAAAGTAATCACATCTCTTGGCTCAAAGAAACGAAACATTTTTATTAGTTTTCGTCTTTTTTGTTTTCCCTCGATTACAATAAATTTAATAATAAAACATCAAAGTATAAGACGAACAGTTTTGGATTGAGATCACGATAGTTTCGTTTATAAAACTTGAAATATTTGTCTTTGCAGGTGCAGATGCCTGACAGGAGGGGGGT